TCTAGACGCGTCTAAGAAATGATCCGTAAGAAAACGCAGTCAGACGCGATTTCAAAACATTTTTTAAACAGACGCATCTAAACGCGTTTTGAAATATCATTCCGCGGGTGCGTTTAGACGCGCCTCCATAAAGCGCGTCAAATTAGGTCTCATTTTGGTCGCAATTAGGAGACGCGCTTAAACGCGTTTTTGTAACGCGCGTCTAGACACACCGTAGAAATTGTCCGTACAAACACGCGTTTAGACGCGTCGGTTGACGAAAATGTTTTATAGCCCCGTTTCGACGCGTCTTTCTTATGCGCGTTTAGGCGCGTCTGTAACATTTTCTTACGAAAATGCGTTAAGACGCGTATTTTGAGGAAAATAGTTACAGCCGCGTTTAAATGCGTCTCTCTCACGCGCGTTTAGACGCGTCTGAGAAATTTATCTTTAAAAAGACGCGTTTTAGCGCGTCTTTTCAGACGCACCGAAGTTACATGGGCAGCTAACTGGAATTCCGTGACGTTTTTTGGTGATTTTGTTCAATTTGCAGAAATTTTTCAAAAAGTTAAGTTTTTCAAAAAGTCAGAAGTGAATGAGCCATTTTATAGACAATTCAATTCTCTATCGATTGACCTGCTTTTGAAAAGTTTTACTGAAAATCTCTTGGTTAGGAAATTGAAAACAATAACAGGTACTTTCTGCATATCTTTTTTATAAATTTAGTAAAGCAGCTCTCATTGTTTTCAATTTCCTAACCAAGAGATTTTCAGTAAAACTTTTCAAAAGCAGATCAATCGATAGAGAATTGAATTGTCTACAAAATGGCTCATTCACTTTTGAGTTCTAACTTTTTGAAAAATTTCTGCAAATTGAACAAAATCACTAAAAAACGTTACGGAATTCCATACGCAGTAGAGTTAGCTGTACAGCTAACACTTGAACAGCTAGGCGGACTTTGTCCGTCACTTGTTTAATCACTGGTCTGTTGATATAAAAAATTAAGTAGTGTATTTCGTCTGCGTTTGTTTTATCATGTGTACTCAACATATAATAGTTTATAACCATCACGTTTCATTATTTCAGATTTTTTACACTTTATTTTGATAATTGGTATTGATTGCTTATCAAAACCGGTGATACCGTTGCTGTAAATCTAGAAACAAGTATTATAGTATACGCAACAGTGAAGGTAAGAAAATAAAACGATATGAATTACATGTCTGTTGTAAAACACTGTCATGCATACTTCACACAACGTGTTGATATATCAGAAAAAGCTCATTTCAACAATTTATTCAAAAAAAACTAATTTTACTGTAACAGTCAAAATTGCTTGCCAGCAGTAAAGATCTAGCAAATGAAAATGCTAAGTTGTATGAGTAAACCACTCTGTCTGGTGAATAAGACTAGCCTAACATGATAACCATGCTAGCTGTTGAATATCGTCTATTGATATTCGTTTGACTCTGTTTGCTTCTAATGTTTTCTCTAAAAATTCAGTTAGTTCGTGAGATACATTTTCAATATGTGTATTATGATGTTGTGGATATGTGTTTGTCAATGAATAATACGTAATAATTCCAACTATGTAAGATAAATATTTCGATGGATCGTATAAATTTGTTATTTCTGGTGGAGTCAAATAGTAATTTGGTTTTAGTCGAACAAATGGTTGCAGTGCTTTAGAATTCCAACGGTATTGAGAGGTTTGAACATTCGCCATTCCTAGTACGTGAAAGTAACAAATTGCTTTACTATGGAAAAACCTTTGAATGACGCAGTATGAGTTATTGATTTTTTCTTAAAACGATCTATACTAAAAATATCAGTAGTTTTTTTTGCTAAGACTAAACTACTATGTGTTTCAAAATACAATGGTCTCGAATATTTTTTGAATACCTTTTCACAAAAATAAGATAGAGACCTGCGGTTTTCAGCTTTGGAAACTAGACACTTGACCACATATTTCTGTGAGCAAAAGCGAATTTCGAAAAAACTTCTGAAGTGGGTTTTTTAGAGAATCTTTGGAAAACTGGCTGGAGCTTTCCGAAATTCACATAGAAATGTATTGATATTTTTCATGGGCTGATAGCTCGGGATGTTCTCTTTAGAAGGGAGTAGAGTGAGACCTTGATTTTCTGCGATTCAGGCGTTGTATCGCATTTCCGACGAGTCCCAGGACTGGCATCCGGCGACTCTTGGTAGCCTTGAAGACGGATGGACTATGGATAATCGACCATGTTGAGTCTCGTAGCAATATTTGTTTTTAGAAAAAGTTTTAAAAATCTACCGAAAAGCCAGTTTTACGAAAATTAGGGTTTTCAGACTGTTTTCACCGAATACAAAAAAATCACTATTCAAGCAAAAACATCAGAACGGACTCGAAACTTCAGAATGTAAAGTACTTAAGCTATTCTATATCCTGTTTATAGGAGATCTTATGTTTTTCGAACGAATAGTGCATTTTTTAATATTAGGTAAAAACAGCCTGAAAACCCTAATTTTCGTAAAACTGGCTTTTCGGTAGATTTTTAAAACTTTTTCTAAAAACAAATATTACGTACAGAAATATGTGGTCAGATGTCTAGTTTTCAAAACTGAAAACCGCAGGTCTCTATCTCATTTCTGTGAAAAGTCATTCGCAAAATATCCGAGACCATTGTATTTTGAAACGCATAGTAGTTCTTTGTATCATTCTTCTCTGAAACAAACGTTCGAGTTTTTTGTTTCGTATGCTTACCAAAATCGATTATTTTCAGTGTTTCCGTGTTATGATCATAAAACAAATTGTTAACATGAAGATCCAAATGGATAATATTTACTTGATGAAACATGATCAAAATAGCTTTTATCAATTGACGAATTATTTGTTTAAGATTAAGTTCATTCATAGCTGTTATCATCGACTCTACGATCAAACCTTTTTACAAAAAAAGACAACTAAATAAATAACCGTTGATTATGAGTGGAGAAAGCCCGAGGAAAGAATCGTGGGTACGACGATGAGATCTTTACGCGTACAGCGTAATCGACTATGATAATAACGAATATCTATGCCTCTCAAACAACTTTTCTTTAAAAAACAATGATCTAGATAATTCGTGCGTGATCCTTGAATTACCTTTTACTTGCTCCATTTCTATGAGATACACATTCTCATTGTGCATTTTATTTATACTGTAGTAAATGGGTAATATATCCTGCAGCACTCTACATTTTTGTGCTTTGTATGCCACGTAGATTTCAACTGGAACGTATTTATCATCTCTCATACAATTTACTCTAACAATAACCTCCTCCGGCTCGTGTTTGCAATTATTAACGTCATCATCATCCTGTTGTAACAATTCTTGCACACTCTCTTTAAGCACACATATTGAACTGTCATAAACAAATTTGATTATTCGATGTTGTCCGTGTGAATTATCAAACAAGAACGTTCTGCCATGTTGACCATTTGTGAATTTCAGTAGAAATACGTAATTTTTGTAGAGAGACTGAATATACGAAATGTATTTTTCGTCAATGTCATCTACACATTTTGTAGTCGAAGTGCTTGGTATTGATAAGGGACTAATGGGAGTAGATAGTACCAAAGAAGATGATGCCGATACTAAACAGGTTAAAAAAGCACAAAGCCAAACTCACCATCGTCAGCTGCTCCCCTCCGATTTCAATGATCTTTTGCCGATAGATACTATATAGTGTCCTAGTGTTAACCTAAAAAGGATTTGGTTGCATGGCTCGTCTTTCAAAAGTTATTAATTTTTTAAACTTGACCACTGGAGATCCTAATTCATCATTGTTTACTTTCCAAAACTCGTGGCGTGTGGCGATCAGCCGAAATCTTTTTAAACGCTTATTCATATAGAGAAAGATGTTCTCTTCAAAATGAGACGTTGGATGGTTGTGCGATATCCCCATCAAAAGTCAATCCGATTTTTGATCTTCGTTTTTTTGTCTCTGAGGAAAATAAAAGGTTTCCGAAAAGTTAACGACGTTTTTCGTCATTTCTCTGGAACTTTTTATTTTCCTCAGAGACAAAAACGAAGATCGATAATCAAGTTCTGTTATACCCTAGAAAAAAGTGTTGGCTATATTTCAAGACCACCCTGAGATTTGTAGCACTTAAAATAGCGGAGAAATCTTGGAATTACGCAATACTACAAGGCAAAAATCGATATGGAGGAATGAAAGAAAAGAAGAAAAGCAGAGTTTTAGATGCTTTTAGACAAATGCTTATGACTTTTGATGGGGATATCGTAGAACCACAGCAACGTCTCATTTTGAAGAGAACATCTTTCTCTATATGAATAAGTGTTAAAATAGTTTTGGCTGGTCGCCACACATGCGAACGAGTTTTGGAAAGTAAACAATGACGAATTAAGATCTCCAGTGGTCAAGCTTAAAAAATTAATAACTTTCGAAAGAAGAGCAATGCAACCAAATCCTTTTTAGGTTAATACTAGGATACTATATAGTATCTATCGGCAAAAAATCATCGAAATCGGAGGGGAACAGTTGCCAATGTTCCCTCGTGTGTTTTATCTTCCGAATATTGATAATTACAAAAAGAACATCTTCAGGGTGAATTTCAGGAGCTTTCTTTTTCTATCTGACAGTTTCACTATATTCAGTACTTTTTTAAAATTGCATGAACTCGGTAACGTTAATAAATCATGTCTAATTAATATTTTAGTTTCGAGAGCAATGCATTTCAGCACAGTCAAACATCGTTTTATGGGCATACCGCATTCAGTTAATGTTGTATGCTTGAGAGTAGGTAAGACGGATTCGAGTACCGGTGATGATAGAAAATTAGGTAGTGTTGTTTTTGACGTATCCACTTCGACTAGTGTCCATGGTGGCGTTTTTAATGCTAAATCGTCTCGTCGTTTTGACGCAGTCTCACCTATTGGAGTAGTTGAACTAGTTGAACAGGAAGATTTCAGTATATCAATGAGAGCGGGAGTCCATGGTGGAATTTTTCTTGTTAGACCTGTACGATGTTTTGGCGTTTCAGGGGTTAGTAATTCAAAATCTGAGCTATTTGGAGTTTCGGAAGCAAATATGGCAGAGAAGAATATTAGAAAATAAATAAAAACAAACATTTTTTACGAAACAATCATAATGAACAAAAATTTATCGCGCGCTATCGGCAGTTAAACCAAAATCATAACACTTGTTCTCCGAAAAATTCGAGAAAAAAATGGATCGATAAACGTGTAATGTGAAGTTAGAATATTCTCAGTTAGATCAGCGGTTCTAACTGATCTTTTCCAAGTAGCTACTGATGTGTCGAGCCTATATTCGAGAAAAAAGAGATTGGAAACAAAATAGTTACAGCAATGAAAGTTCGTGTACTGTCGACGAGACGAAGTGATGCCATTTTAGTGTCAAAATGAGAAATGAGCAGCAGCTGGCAGTGAGTATAGAGAAGAGAAAATGTAAGCGAGAAGATGACATTGTATAATGAACTGATAGTTTTTTTACCAAGATAAACAAGAAAAAATTTCTTGTAAATATCAGAGCATGAAGATGTACAAGGCTACTATTTAATTAATGCACCACTTCATAAAAAATTTTGGACTGTTTTTACTACAACTCTTATATGCCAAATACTTTCATAGAGTACTGGCAGCAATAATATCAAGTGTGGCAAACCTCGACAGGTACTTTTAAAAGTACGTGACAATTGAAAGATTTTGAAAATATGTTAATTTTTTGCTCAACATTTTTTCTATTTATTGAGTTTTTTTCTATTTCATGAAGACAAAAAATAATATATTTAAGTTGATCGTAGTCGTTTTCTCAACAATATTATATAACAAATCAAATAGTATGAAAAAAGGCTTACGGCAAGAATTGATTACATGCTTTTTTATCATCATCATAACTTCACAATTTGAACTACTCTGACGGTACCGTTGTTATTACTCACTGTATATAGTGGTTACGTCGTCTGTGTTCTGAGAATCAATAACAAAAGCTTTTTAGTAGTAGAATTACAAAGATGCCCCGAGTTGAACCTAGTTTATTAGTTTAGTAAGAAATCTCATTTACCGAGCTATAGTCTGCGTAGCTTCATTTATCAGGTACATTGAAATATTCAACAATTTGTTTCGATGGATCTTGCTCATATCTGAGTAAGCGTTTTCAATATGTCCGAGTTGACGGCTATTTTGCTACAATTAAATAGAACAAATACTAGCAGGTGCTTCTTGATCCTATTTTGTTTAAAATCTACATAAATGACATTGCTAATCCCAAATTAGTAAATACAGTTTTTCTTTATAATGACGATACCTCCACATTCTATGAGGTAGTATCTACTGACAGCACTTTGACTACACTTATACAGTCTGACTTAAACGCTGTTTCTGCCTTTACATATCGCAGGGTTAATCGACGGTAATTAATTAGACTACGGTACAGAAAAATACCACATGGCAACCATTTTTATACATACACGATTTTGTTTTGCACCCGTCAGTACATATAAGAAACACAGAAAAATTCAAAACACTTGATTTCTTTTTCAGATTAAACTTTTCTTTTAGATCATATAGACTCATCAAAGTTCAAACTTCGACGAATCGAGACAAATTTCTCTCAATCGAGAGTCTCTCTGCGCTTACAGACGCTCAACAAAAAAAAAAAAGTTGAAAACTAGATTCGAACTCCCGTTCGACTTGTTCATAACGACAAAACACCGGACGGTATCGCTGGTTATACGGGAGGTAAACCGAACGGTGACCGCAGTTACCATAGGAGAATTTCGATTTTCTACGACATAACGGCTGGAGTACTGAACGGTGGGCAAACGGTAACCGGGTGGTACTTTTTCGGTTTTGAGGATAGACAAGCAGAAGTTGTTCACCAACTGTACTGAAGTTTCAAAGATAGCTTGTGCGCGTCAGATCAGAAATCAGAATTTATCATTAAATAATTAATAATCTTCAGGATAATTTAGAAAAGACAATATTGTATCATGCGTTGAGCTCCTGGCACACCCATCTGCTCTTACTGTTTTAGTTTGCTTCGCTTCTTACTGACAAAGGTAACATTTAACTAGAAGGTAAACATAGAATTTAGTTTTCTTCTCTTATTGTTCTGTTGAGAGTAACATTTATATTTCTTTCACATTTTATTATACTATGTAGATATTTCACATTTTATATATCTGTGTAGATATTTACATACAAGAGGCAAACATATCTCATAGGTTAGTTATGAATTTTTCCTTGCGTTTTGCTTTATGTGGTGCGATCGAACAACGTTGTATCAGACGGTGCAATTACTTACGGATACATAGACTGAAATTCATTGAACGTGCTTTTCAGATTTGATGAGAGAACATAAACTAATTTGTTTAGATTTCTCTAGACAAACACTGTCGACGAGAAAAGGTGCTGATGGCACTAGAACACATTGAAATTAAGCCAGTTAAGTGGCGCTCTCAAAGATTTTTCTCTTTGATCGTCCTTGGCCCAGAAATTCTGATCTTTGTGAACGAACTAGTTCATGCTTGCTGCTTAAACTTAAGAAGTTCGTCTAATGAATTTGAATCCACAGCATAATAGAAACTCCTGAGTGATTCATAAATTATCATTTGTCAAACAATAGACCACTATATAATGAGAAGACAGCTGTGCTTCTCTTTCTTTTATTTGGCTGACATAAGTTCACATCGTTGTTAGAAGTTATGTGCGGTTAACAGCCGCCAATCCATGAACAAAATTTCATAAAAGAGAACGGCCAAGAACGTGTTCTTGAAAAAAATGGAACGCGTCCTAAAGACGCTTTTAGCGTTCTTTTGGAACTCCTCGCGGAAGAACGCGTTTTCTTAGGCAACAAAAGAACGCTAAAAGCGTCTCCAGAGCACATTCTTTTCGAATGCATGTTTGGTGGGGAAGAACGCATTCCTGTTAACTGATAGAAAAAAAATTTTACTGCTCGCCCTTCCAAACACTCTCTCGGTTCTTCCCATCTCTGCACTCGTTCCTTTCCTTTCTCCCTTCTCAAGTCTAGTATTGGAACGCAGTCTCAAGGAGCGCGTTTGAGAGCGCTTTTTTTTGCTTTGTCCTAGATTCAATCTGCGGACCTTATGATCATGTGTCTAACGAGTTGTTACTAGGCTATATCGTGCTTATTACTTATAAGCTGAGTTTCATGTTTATATTTAACAAGAAAGTAGATTTAGACATCTGTTCGATATCTTAAAGATAATATCATTCTAATCGAATTTCGAGATAACTAAAATCGTTTTTAGGATGATGTTGGATAATTCAACATTGTTTTGAGAACTGTGACTGACTTTTATCAAAACTGAGTTTTGAGATCACAGCTTTGCCTATTCTTTTTACACGCTTGTTTATCAGATATTTTTATCCTTATATGTTATTAAGGCTTTATTGTTGTCGATAGACAGTGAGGAAGGTGAGATGCTTGATGGTCTCGTCAGAGCCACAAAAGATGGCAGCTATGGATAATGAGTGAGAAATGAGAAGTGCAGGTAATTTCAGCATTAGTTAACAAGTTGTTATCATCGGCGTCCATTCTTGGAAACTGTTATTGACAGATAACTGTTAACTATCTGACATTGGAAAAAGCACACGTTACACTTCAAATTTATTGTGACTTTCAACGAATCCTTTACATTGTTCCACTAAAAATCTTGAATGTTATGTTTCTGATCAGACAAAAAAGGTTGCATGAGTCTAACAATAACAATTTTTTTATTTTAGTGAAAAAAAAGATTGAGTTACGACAAGTAATCTGAATAGGTGTGTTTTACACAATAGACGTCATAGTGTGGCGCACAGGAGAATAAAATTCTTTCTGTTTTCTTTTCTTTCGAGATATTGCCATACTACCAAAGTACTGTCAGCTGTCTCAATCGTATTGTTTTCTCAATTTATAATGAAAATGCTTCCACAGTCTATGAAATCACCGTAGCTATCCATCACAATCGATGACAAATTGATTTCTATCCTACTGTGAACATTCATATGGACGTGCTTTAGATGTTTTCACTACAAAATAATATGTATATATACAAATGTAAATATTTTGATCGATAGTTTACACTAAAGGTTCTTGTATCTACACAGATATAATAAAAATGTGAAAGAAATATAAATGTTACTCTCAACAGAACAATAAGAGAAGAAAACTAAATTCTATGTTTACCTTCTAGTTAAATGTTAGGCATTATTCATCAATCATGTTTATTTCTTCTGAATTCTAAACAGCATTGTTCAAAACACTAATTTCAAACAATTGTTCTTTATCTATTGAAAATGGCTGAATAAAGGATTTAGGAATTAGAAAAATACAACAGAGTACATGGATTTGAAGAAATAATGTAAGAAGATTACTTAGAATAGAGAGTTTGAAATAATGCCTATGTAGTATTGAAATACGTTGTCAGTAAGAAGAGAAGCAGAAACTACTCACTGACTGACATCGAACGTGTCACGAATTATGAATTTTTTTGAACAATTGAATACTTTTGTTATTCATTTTATTTATAGATTATTTAATCTTTTATATCCAAGAGAATGACGTCTTCTTTAATTGGTCGAGTAGCTTTTTCGATTATCGGTATGATTTATTTAACAGTTTTAACATCATTATTGGGATTACTTTTTGCTGGCATACGATTGTTCAAACTTGGACCACGTCGTTTCTTCAGTAAACTTGAAAGACCAAAACCTCCTCTAAGAGCAGTGGATAGTGAATATGGACGACATGAAATGATCAAGTTAAAGGTAATAATATATTTCTGTTTTTATAAAACAATGTTTTTTTTTTGTTTTTTTATTCCAATAGTCTTCCGACGTCACTCTGCATTATGTTTCAAAGGGTACGCAAGATCAACCATTGATGTTATTTGTTCATGGCTTTCCAGAATGTTGGTATTCTTGGCGATTTCAACTAAAATATTTTTCGAATAAATATCGGTAAGATGATGATTGTTGTGCATACCTCTTTCTCTTGTAAGATTCAACTAGATTATTTATTAGAGGCAGTAGTGATGCCGATTGTAGCCGAGTTTCTAAGTGATAATTAGATATTGAAAGTAGAAAGCTTAAAACCATACGCAACTTTTTTTTTCTTAAACTTGTAAGATTTTCTTTTAATTTTTTTTGTACAGCTGCAAAAATTGAGTGAATTTTTCAGTGTAAATGTGTTGTAGAATGCTCAACAGTTTCTCGATAAGCAAAATCATGCGTAAAACTCTTGAGTTTGTGATTAAAAGAACCATTTAGAGACATTCTCCTATTCTCGATAAATAAGATATTCGAATTCTAGCTTTTTCCACGATACTTATGCATTTAAACTATTTTCTAAATGTGTTGATTTGTAAAGCAATTTTTTATGGTCAAAATGAGAAATTGCACGATTCTGTGTGATATTCTGTAAAAACTAGTGACAAGCTCTAAAATGCATGAACATATAAATGCATGAGTGATAATATAGTGTTCTTTTTACGTAAATAGATAGTGGGCTTCTCCGACAATGCAGTATTTAATTTTGAACAAAAAGTTCCAAAAGCTGGTGAGAATATGGTTTAATAAAAATTCGAATTTTTAGACTATTGTTACCTAATCTTAAGAAAAGTATCATGTGAATATTAAATTTTATTGAATTCTGTTCAGGATTATACTGTATCCATTCTGTTTCTCTTCCTAATTATTTTATTTAAAATTTGTTACGTTTCATTGTAGTTTAACAACTTCTTCAGACATAAAATCTTTAACACTAACTGTTAAATACACTTTTTAATTGAATTATAGAACAAAAAACAAAACCATTGACCATTTTGAACTTTTCGACCATTTTGATCATTAATTCTTCTTTCTTCTTTGTCTCTCTTATACATATGACAGTGATACGGAAACAAGACGGTCATAGTAACAACTAGACAGGTTAAACCTTTTCTGTATTACTATTACCGTCTTGTTCCTTAAGTTTTAGTTCTTTTATATTTCTCAAATGTTTCTCAACTTGATTGAATCTTTCTTTTAATTTCTTGTAAAGAATAGAATTCCAATCATCGCTAATATCATCATGTTTATTGACTGATTTATTTACATTGCTTCTTTTAGACTTCGTTTACGCCAGTTTTTCTCTTGTTCAACGATAAAGGCATTATCCGTATCAAATAGACATTGATATCTATTTTATTGTTGATATTGCACCATTTCCGATTTTTCCTTATTGTTGTTTATCAGTTGAAAATGTTGTTTCATTCTATTATCAATTCCAACTTTAGTTTCATCATTATATATTTGAAGAGGATCACAACTGCACTGTATTTGATCGTTGTTTTCGCTTGATAATTAATGATCGGAAATGGTGCAACATCAACAACAAAATAGATATCAATGTCTATTTGATACGAATAATGCCTTTATCGTTTGAACAAGAGAAAAACTGGTCGGAAAGTTCAAAATGGTCAATGGTTTTGTTTTTTGTTCTATAATTCAATTAAAAAGTGTATTTAACAGTTAGTGTTAAAGATTTTATGTCTGAAGAAGTTGTAAAACTACAATGAAACGTAACAAATTTTAAATAAAATAATTAGGAAGAGAAACAGAATGGATACAGTATAATCCTGAACAGAATTC